AAATCCTGATGGGACAGAGAAACAGAGGAGAAGGGACTGCAGCACAGCCACGCCCAACTAGGAAATGCTTTCTCTCTCCCACCCTCTCAGTGAGCATACACACCCTGTATATTGGGTCACTGGAAAAGTCATGACTCATTTTTGCATCAAAAAAAAAAATAGAAAAATACGTCATGACTTTTCTGATGACTCAAAATATACAGACATACACTGTGACACACACACACACACATTTATACATACACACACGTAAGTAAAAGCTGTAATCAGAATTCTAAGAACACTTTAGTCAATGCAAAATCAAAAACTGAAGGAAAGGCCAGCAGGTGGCATGGTGATTAAGGCACTAGACTCCCATACGGCCTACAGCAGTTCGAGTCCCGGACCTGGCAGTTTACTTTCTCAACTTCCCTCTCTTTCTCACTCTGTCCCTCTTTGATCTAATTTAAACAAAATAATTTATTTATTTTTTTTTTTTGGAGAGGTTTTTGCTATAGGGCACATGCACTCGCAAGAAAGACAGAGACAGACAGAAAATAAGAAATCACCCCCCTGGGGAGATGGCCACGCCCCAATCCCTTCTCCTCCATTCTCCTCTCGGGATCTTGGGCACACACACTCACGCACCCTGCGTGAGTTTAAGCCACCAGGTCCGGGACTCGAACCACGGTCGACTACCTGGGAGTCCAGCAACGTAGCCATTAGGCCATCTGCTGGTCCCAACAAAATAATTCTTTAAAAACAAACAAACAAAAAAAAACGGGGCCAGCAGGTGGCATGGTAGTTAATGCACTGGACAGTCCCACATGGCCGCCCACGGTTTGAATCCCGGACTTGGAGGCTTGCTTTCTCACTTTCTCTCTCTCTCTCTCTCTCTCTCTCTCTCTCTCTGGTCAAATTAAAATAGATGAATGAATAAATAAAATTAAATAACAAAAAAAAAAACTTAAATTAAAAATAAACGAGAGAGATATTTCAGTCGCCTATCCTTGATGTCTAATTTCTCGTGCTTTGACTTGGTTGTGGCCTATGACGCAAATCTGTTTGACGTGGCTAAGGAGCTGCACATGGGAGGCTCCCAGCGTGCCCATGGCCACCTCAGGACCTCGAAGGCGCTCCGCCTGCAGCAGCCGAGCTAGCAAGTCGAGCTGACAGGCAGCTGGGTTATTCACCCTTGGTACTGACGTCCGAGTGCACGTAACTTTCATCAGAGATGTCCATCTGAATCTTGGAACAGAACCCGAATCTAAAACCATGCCGAGAACAGCCCAGCAGGGTCCTGCAGCCCTCAAGACCACGCTGGCCATGGGCTGCTCAACACCCACGCTCCAAGGGAGCCTGTCCGGACGTCCACTGCCTCACAGCCAAGCTACCGAGAAGTCGCAAGGGTCAACTTCTTTCATGCTCAGAACGCCACCCAGCCCAAGGGGGCGCCGGTTAAAACGAACACAAGGCTACAGTGCTTGACGACAAAAGGAAAGACACCACGAACACTGAAAGGAGAAGCGGTGATGAGCTGCACGAGATCTTCCCGGGGCGGCTCTGGCTCCGAGCTCTGCCCACCAGGCCCTGGGCCTTACCTTCAGACAGCAAGCTAAGGGCCTCGTCAGACGTAAGCCCCCCAACGCACACCACCTTCCTGGAAGGGGCATGGTCAGGGGGCGCGTGGGAGTCCACCAGAGATGGGTACACCCCCTCCGCAGCCGAAGTCGTCATCGATTCCCACTGGATCGCCTTCCTGGGGGATGGGAAGTCCAGGCTGCATCCCGTCCAGCCGTAGAAGGCCAGAGACAAGAGAAATCCCTGGGCCGGATTCAGGATCCCCTGGGGGTGTGGACAATAGAAACCTATGTCAGGGCAGTGGAGCAGGAAGCAGGGCACGCAGTGGTCACAGGGTGGTCGCTCCCTCTGAAACATACCATAAAACGTGAGCTACAGACACTCAAGATTGACCGATCCTTGGGGCTGGCAGGTGGCGTGGTCATTAAGGGCGCTAGACTCCCACTTGGCCAACAGTGGTTTGATTCCCAGACCTGGAGGCTTGCTTACTCTCTCTCTCTCTCTCTCTCTCTCTGTCTCTCTGAAATATTAAAATAACTCTCTCTCTCTCTGAAATATTAAAATAATAATAAATAAAGTTAAATAAAAGATTTTAAAAATATAAAAGCTTTACTACTCCTCAGAATCAATCCGATTATGCATTACAAATCATTAGTGTACTTATGCTACTCAGTAGGTGCCTTGGGTGGCCTCCCTGGGAAGGGACTCTGGGCTGGGTGATTGGATGGTTTGGAATAAGACTAACTTGGGGCCACGACGGACCAGCAGTTAGCGTAATGGCTATGTCACTGGACTCCCATGTAGTCGACCGTGGTTCGAGTCCTGGACCCGGTGGCTTAAACTCACATCGGGCACGTGTGTGTGCGTGCCCAAGATCCCGAGAGGAGGATGGAGGAGAAGGGATTGTGGTGTGGCCATCCCCCCAGGGGATGATTTCTCGCTTTCTGTCTCTCTGTCTGTCTCTGTCTGTCTGGCGAGCGCACACGCCCTATAGCAAAAACCTCTCCAAAAAAAGAAAATAATAAAAATTAAGTTAAAATAAAAACAATTATTAAGTAAATAAATAAAATAAAGTTCAATAAACTAATTCTTTAAAAAAAAAGAAAAGAAAGATGCTATTGCGAGCCTGCCTGGAAATGCTGATACAACTGTGCCAAATTGATTTACAGAACCGTACCTATGTAATAACAATTGACAACAATGGAACCACCTAGCTGGTAACCAAGGCCAGATGCAGGTAGCCCAGGGCCCATCCCACTCACTATACTTTTATTTTTTTGCCAGAGAGTGACAGAAACAGGGGAAAGTGAGAAAGCACCTCCGTAGAGCATGGTCGTGCTGCAATCCCTTCTCCATTCCTCCCTCCTTTCAAGATTGTAGCTAGGGATCTCTACACACCCAGTACATTTTGCAAGCCACCACCGGGTCTGGGACTCGAACTGCAGTGTTGGCCTCTGAGATCCAGCTCATATAACCACCAGGCCACAGGCTGGCCTGCGTTATTCGTTTAAATACCAACATACCCTGTCTTTGAGCGGCTTTGTACCTCCAGTATGCTTTTCTAGAAGATCCGAAGCCTGGTCAACCTACCATAATAAACCAGGTGGTCTTGGCTGCGTTCCTCACGTGTCTCAAGGCACCTCCGTCGATGTGTGGTTGCATTTCCAGGTAGAATAACAGGCTTTCATTGACGATATTTGACAACCAGCTGTTAGTAAGAAAACAACCCACGGGTAAAGCGAACACGCAACAAAATGTTGGTGTTAAATGCTAGGGGGTTCAGAGGACGATTTCTACCAAGGTCTACAAGTGTCACTTGTTGGGACCAGCAGTTAGTGTAGTGGCTATGTCGCTGGACTCCCATGTAGTCAACCGCGGTTAGCGTCCCAGAGCCGGTGGCTTAAAACTCACGCTGGCGTGTGTGCGTACGTGCCCAAAATCCCGAGAGGAGAATGGAGGAGAAGGGATTGCGGCGTGACCATCCTCCCTGGGGGGTGATTTCTCACTTTCTATCTCTCTGTCTGTCTGGCGAGCGCAC